GCTGCTCCGTCGGCTCGTAGCGGCGCTGCTCCGTCGGCTCGTAGCGGTGCTGCTTTTTTCCAACCGTCTCATGTCGGCTGTTGTTTCAGCGCATCGCTACAATCAAAGTCGATGTTAGCTGATTCCTGCTCCGTTTTTTAAAAAAAAACAGATTAAATTTTAAAACGTATCAATTTGTGTTTTCGAACGTTCACAAACGTTTAAACAAATTTTCAGCCAAAGAGTGAAACTGTGGCGCCCCCTGTTGGCTGTGGGTCTGCTCTGAAGTTTTATTTTGTTTCTCCAAGAAGGGGTTTAAATGATGAACAAATGTTTAAAAAATGTTTCCAGCCCCTGATTTTACATGAACGTGTGACTTAAAGGAAGATCGGAGCGTCGCTGACGTAGAGCAGCAGGTCGTCTGCAAACAATCTTATCAGCTGTTTCCCCAAAAAGCAATCGAGTCCCGTGAGGCGGTTTCAGTCGCGTCCTGAACGTGTTTGTTGTTAAAGTTTAGCTTTTTATCCAAAAGAAAAGCTGCTCTGACTTGGACCTAGGTCGAACACCAGGACTGAATCTGTCGGCGTACGTGTGGTTTTTAAGAAATGTTATTTTCTGCGATGTTTCATTCCATATTTTCTTTGTTGTCTCCAAACTACCGGATCCTCATTTCATGTTAGCCCTGGTGTTTCTTTTAGCCAAAATGTTAACTCTTGTTTTCGTTTTCCTCCTTGTTGTACATACACACCTCATTTTTTCAGTGACTGTGCCATGAGCTTTGTAATCTGTTACTCTGTACCAGTTTAACTGCAATAATGAGTTGAATTCAAAATGGCCGCTCCTGTCTTTCTTTGATCTGCCTGAATTCTCTGGTTACTCATGATTTCACGACGCTTCTGGTGAAAACATCGACCACGACGAGCCGCTCAACAAATCGGAAATTCATTACAAACTTTAATCTGGTGTTTTTCTAAAAAGAAAAACTGGAGAATGTTGAAGTGTCCAGAGGCTGCGCAATAATCCAGGTCGGGGGAAAAGTTAACGTTTCGTCTTTTATCCATCAGTGTGAGGAGCTGCAACAAACTCAGGTTGATCCACTGTAAATATTTATAAGACTGAGTTTGTTGCAGCTCCTCACACTGAAGAAGTCCTTTGGATAAAAGACGAAACGCTTTTAAATCGTCCAAAGTGACTTTGTTAAATGTTGAAAGTTTAAAGTCTAATATCAAATGTCGAGTATTTCTCTGATAACAGTGAAATATTTTTGTATTTATTTAGACTCAAACTGGGTTAATTTATCTTTGAGTCAGTCCTGTAGAGGGTTACTCGATGCTAAGTTATTAAATGTAAAGATAAAAACATAAACACATCCTGCCTAGCCTTGGCACCAAAACCACGACGCATTTAGCCTAGTTTCGCACAAAGTCTAGATTACAGTTAGCCTATTTTAGCACAAAGTCCAGATTACAGTTAGCCTAGTTTAGAACAAAGTCCAGATTACAGTT